TTTGTTTATAAAAGCCCAAATGTTCCTCAAAATAAATAAATAACATGGATACGCTCAACAATTACTTTGAAGCAAAGAAGTGAAAGTAAGGCAACAGGGAAACTAAATTCAAGGAAACAGAACAACCAAAGTAGAAATACTGAGAATGTTCACTCATTGTGAAAAATGTAACCAGTGCCACTAAACAGTTTGTGTAGAAATTGCTGAATGAGAGAACCTTAAATTCTGTGTAAAACTCCACTGAAAACACAATATTTTAAAAATATAAAATTAAACAAAAAATATGACCACCCACCCAGAACAGGAGAATGAATAAACAAAATGTGGTATATTCTTTTAATGAAATGCTCTTCAGCATTAAAAAAGAATAAACTACTGACACTTACACTTGGATATATAAATTTGTCCAAAGTCTATTGAGCTGCACGTAAAAATCTGTGCGTTTATATCTACATACAAATATTTGGCTGTACTTTTTATATTAAGCAACTGAAGGAAAGATGATTCAAATGACAAGTTCTAATGGCAGCAAATGAGCGCCGAGTCTTTTCAATGCAGCGTTTCCATGATATTGTGTGAGAGCATGTTACATACATGGAGAAATTCAAAACAGTATAGAATTTAGCAGTACATCTTATATAATGTTTTTAATCAAAATAGAATGGCATTTCAATTAGTCCTTGTCTTAAAGTAGTCCAATTATAAAATATTTGATTTGTAAAAACTCTCATTTTGTTTACTTTCTATTCATTCTTTCAACAGATTCACTGAGCATCTATTTTTTATATGCTGTTGAGTTGCTTTCAACTCATGACAACTATGTACTACAGGGCAAAACACTGCCCAGTTCTACATCTTCCTCACAATCGTCTGAGCACTATGTCAACCCATCTTGTTGAAGCTCATCCTTTTTTTTGTTGACCCTCTACATTAAGCACCTGCTTTTTTGTTAAGTGCTGTTGAGTCGATTCCAACCCATAGTGACCCTGTATAGGGTTTTCGAGGAGCAGCTGGTGAGCTTGAACCACTGACCTTGCAGTTCAAATGGCTTTGCAGTTTGGTGCATTAACCCACAGCGCCACACCAGGCCTCCAAGCACCTACTTAGTATGTGTCAATTATTATTCTTGCCACTGAGAGAGTAGTAAGCAAAATAGATGGATAAAAACCCTTGTCCTCACATTAATTGCATTCTAGTTGGGAAGACAGGCTTAAACAGAACATATAAAAAAGATCCACAGCACGTTAGATAAGGATTAAGGGTTTGGGTTAAGGACCAAACACAAAGTACAAAAGTGGGTATATTCACTACTGTGGGTGGTGCAGGGGCCAGAAGGTGAAATTGATCTTGGTACCAAATGGGCTTTACTGAGTAGATCCCTTTTTGGAAAAACTTGGAAGAGATAGGCATTCAGATGCCTGAATAAAAGCTAGCTAGGAAAAGGACCACAAGCACAGAGGTCTTCAGATGGAACTTTCCGATGTGTCTAGAGTGGAAGAATAAAGGAAAGTAGTAGGAGGTGAGCTCTGAGTAGGATTACACAGGGTCTTGTTTTCTTTGCCACTGTGTTTTGTGGATATCTCCTTCTCTATTGTTTTCGTTCTGCCAAGCTACCAACCATAACTATTTAGTGATATTTATCTGTATAAGTCAGAATTTTACCAGTAGAGGCTGAATAAATGGCTATCCTTCAAGAAAGCTCCAAGGTGACTTTTTACCTTCATGAAGTCAGTGCTTTCTCCAAGCTTCCTTTCAATCTTGTGGGCTTAGAAGCAACACTATCATTGTCCCAGAATTGGGTAGAAATAGAGAGATGCTAGTGCAGTTTACAAGAAAGATGCATAAAATTCAAAAGCCAATTTACTGATTTAGAATAATAAAACTCTGAAGAAAACCAGATGACAAATGTCAGTTATCAGTCTTTTTTTCTCCCTGTAAGGAAATAATATTGAAAACCAAATTATCACAAGGTTGATTAGAGAGCATGGACATAAAATCAGTCATCTGCATCTGATTGTTCTTGATCTCTGATGGGCACTTAAGGAACCAGTCTCGGTAACAAGGTTATATTTGTCAGAGACAGTCCCTACGTAGGAATAACCGAAAGATGCTGCCTTCAATTGCCTATTTTTGCTGCATCCTTAAAACCTCTTCTGAAGATATTTTATTTCTTTAGATATGTTAAACACCTTCTGTGTAAACAACCTGTAACTGGTGATCTAAAGTCTTACTAAGGGGACTTTGTACATATTCTACTCCAATCCATTGTGTGTTAGCATCATAACTTAACAAAGAATAATTTTAGAAGCAAACCAGCGTACAACTTACCAAATTTATTAACAAAAAAAATATTTATTATATTCCTATTAGTATACTCTATGGCAATTAATATAAAATTATGAGGGGGCCTTTAAAGTTCATGGAAAACTTCCATTCTTTTCATTTCATTTTTCTATAAACTTTTTGAAGCCACCTGTATTCAGAGACAATGTAATTGTTCTTAGTTGCCATTGAATTGGCTCTGATTCATGACAGTCTTATGTTTAACAGAATGAAACATTACCTGGTCCTTGCCCTCTTCATGACCATGTTCTTACTAGTATATCTTATTTGATATATTTTATTGGCTATAGCCAATGGATATATATATTAATAGATATATATTCTCTTGACTATATTCAATTTATTTAAAAATCATCTTTGGAATATAGTTTCACCATTAAATATGAGAAAGTTTAGTTTATGATCATTTATTTCTAGGGCAAGAAAAAATTTTCCTAAATTGTGTTGGTCATTGCACAACTCAGAATAAAGCCACTGAATTGCACACTTTAGAGTAAATTTTGTGAAATGTGAATGATATTTCAATAAAGCCATTAAAAAAGAGAGTGATTATTTGAGATAGTTTTGGTTCTGTGTCAACTTGATTGAGGCAGGATTCCCAGTTGTTTGGCAGTTGATAGTTAACTCTATGATGATTGGTTATGAGCAACCAATCAGTTGAAAGGATGTTTCCTTGCAGTATGGCCTGCTCTCAGTATAATGAACATACAGGAAAGACTTGCACTCTTCACCACTGGGTCTGGATCTCACATCTGGGTTGTTCTCTGAACTCTGGTTCTTTGAATCTGAGCTAGTGGCCTGCTCTATTATATGTTTGCCTGCTGGGCCTGCCTGCCAAGTGTGCCTAGAAAACCAGACACCCACTGGAGGGCCCTGTACATCTATTCCTGTCATCCCAGTGCATCTGCCCCACACCAATGGTTCTGCAGTGCATCTACCCAGGTGTTGGTCGATCATAACCCTGCTGATACCCCTGCTCCAGCATTGAGGTCCTGTTCTGTGCTCTGACTTGGGATTCCTGCTTTATGGAGTCGCCCACTGATCTTGGTTGGCCTGGCCTACACTTGGGACTTTCCTACCTCTACAATTATGAGCCATTTCCTTGATGTAAGCTTATTGGTGTCGTT